TTTCTTTTTATGCAACCTCTTTAATATATAAAGTAAAGCAAATAACTCTGAACTCAAATACGACAGCTAGATGGTATTCGATGGACTCAAAACGTATTTAAAGGCTCAATGATATGTACAAAAATATAAGATCTACTATAGGACTCCTAAGATTAAAGCTATAATTGTCAAAATTAGAGCCTCAAACTCTAAAATCTTATGGTTAGTAAAACAAAAAAAGAAGGATCAAATAGAGTTTTGAGATGTTTTCATAAACTAATTAATGATTGGGCTTGGCCAGAAGATGAGGAGTAGTACACAATACTTCCCTAGGTGTTGTTAAGCCTCTTCAAAACTAAACATAGCCACTTTTTCGCTGCCACATTGTCTTCGGTTCCCAAAATGTTATCCGCATTTAGTAGAACCATCAAAGGATATAAGAACATTATTTTTTATATCAATTTTTTATAAAGGAAATATGAAAGTAAAAGATGTTATAAGGTGAAATACCAAAGAACATGGATATCTAAAAAGGTGAAAAATGAAGTCAATCATCAAGAATCCGGTTTCCTGAAGGAGCTTCACCTGCCACTTTCAAAGAAGCTACAAAGACAATGTAAATTCAAATTTAAAACAATAATTAATATTCTATTTAAGGAATAGTGATTAGTGATGTATCCAAGAATTTTTATAAAATAAAAATTATCATTCTTTTCTAAATGAAGTTGTAAACAGCTGACATTTCAAGATTCACTTTAATTTAGTTGAAAAGTCCTGGGAATATACAGTGAAAATTATGTGGGTTTTAGCATGTCCAGGAACGGAGACATACTCTCTGGGCATTCTCTGAATTACAATGGCCATGAAATCTAAATGTAGCAAACATAAAAAAAAGTTTAGATGTCACATCATTGTGATTTTCCGTATTATGTTAATGAAGACTAATATTATTCACATACTGATTGGGGTTTTAGAACCGCATAAGTCATAGAAGTCAAAGAATTGTGTGAGGATAGTGTCTGTCTCATTTGTTGCCTGAATTTGTTCTGATTTTGGGGCTGCCTCAATCCAAGTCTTTTTACTCGACATCTAAATGTAATTATAGTTTGCGGATGGGGGGTCACCACTATACTTGGTTAGGCATGGCAGCAGCATTGCTTATGTAGTACGTGTTTTTGAGGCCGAGTATCTTATCAATTTGTTCAATGTCACCACTATTTGCGAGAGCAAGAACCTTGGTACCCTGTACAGAAATGGTTGAATGGAACATTATTAATGCATGTAATATGTACGCTCTAAGATTGATTATTTTATAAGCTTTATAAGCTTACCTCCTCATCCTGCAATATAAAAGGTCTGTACTTGTTAGGGCTCGTCCTTGAGTCTTTGATGTTCCGTTTCTCCACAGCTCTAACCTTACATGTCCATTCCTTTTTGTTGTCATTTATTCTACTGATCATTCCACCTTACATGTCCATTCCTTTTTGTTGTCATTTGACTTTAGGATTAGGAGTTTGGGTCTATCTTTGCGATGGGGTTTTGTATCTGGGTTGTCGGGTCACTAAAATTAATAATTTAGGGCTGGGTTTTGGTGCTGGTTTTTGGGGCTCGTTGGTTGGGTTTTGAGTTTTGGGTTTAGACTTTGGGTTTGTTTTCGTGTTGGGTCACAAAAATTAAAACTAAAAGATCGTTGAAGGAAGACACATATTGTGAACCGAGGTATTACACCACAACCTAATATGATAAAATAAATTGGAAATTGAGAAAGTTAAACATAGTTCAGAACAAAAAATGATTTATGATTTTAGATTTTTAACCCATAAATGGAGTTCAAAGACTGTGTGTTCATACCCTTATGTAGAATTTGGGTTAGGTTTTGGCGTTTGTGTTTGGGACTGGTTTTTGGGCCTGGGATTTGGGTAGACTCTAGGTTGGGTTATAGAGTTTGGGATTGTTTTTGAGTCTGGGACTTTGGGTTTACTATCCGGGTTTTGGGTCTGGTGCTTTGGGCTGGTTTTTGGAAGAATGATGTTCCAAGTTCTCGCTTTGGTTACTCGGGGTTAGGTTCTAGGTTTGAGTTAGAGTTTTTGTTTTTTTGGGAGTGGGTTTTGGGTTTAGATCCGCATTTTAGGCTTTGGTACATCAGAGCTGGGTTTGGATCATGATTTTACTTTCTCCATTAGTTAAAGTAGGTTGCTGGCTAGGAGGATATTGAGTGACAGTGCCTGCGGCTGAGTTTTATGGAAACATTGTTGGGAGGGGTGGAAGTACGGGGTAGGATAAGGGGCATGGACTTGGGGTGAAAAATTTTGGCTCCATCACACTCTTGAATACATGGAATTTAAATTACCTTTAAGAAATTTAAAAAATCAAATGGTACAGCTCTCATATTTGAATAAACCAGATTGTCCTATTCCTTAGATGCTTTAGAGCTTAAAATTTACAACTTGGAATTTTATACATTCTAAAGAGCAGTTTGAAATTGCTACTGTATTTTTTTTCACATCTCTAAACATGCTGGTTGAATATTTTTAAATGTGATATGGTCATTATATCCAAGTCTAAAAAACAAAACAATTCAAATCCNAAAATTGATGTTAAATTGTAAGTTATCGTGTTTTAGGTTCAGGAAATGTGGGAAAAGAATTGTGTATACCCAACCATTCTAACCCATTTGCATAATGGATTTCAAGAGTCCAACACTCACTCCTAACCTTTACCAGAGTCCAACACTCACTCCTTACTTTATAGCCTTGAAATTTAAAAAATCACATGGCACACCTCTCATTTTTCAGTTTCAAACAGGATTGCAAAGACGTAAAAAAAAGGTCATAATTTAAAAACTGCTAAAAAATGTATTCTTTATAGTCAAAACCTTGCAAGTTATTATGCAGAATGTTCAAAGGAAGTAATGTGAGCAGAATACACATCTGAATTTGAGCACTCTTGAATACATGGAATTTAAATTACCTTTAAGAATAATTTTCCAAACTGTTGCAGGTTCAGCCTTATCTGTAGGTGAAAAATGACCCCTCTTTCAGTAATAGAAACAAACAACAACGAGAAGAACACGCCAAAGAACTCATAAGATTATACCTAGGAGGAATCTTGGAGATGGTGTCTCATCCCATCTCCCAAAATCGAATATAAATAGCCCAACGTACATGCTGAAATAATTGGCAGGGGATTATTAAGAAAAGGATCCATAAATACAAGACGAGGAATCAGAGAAGATGTTTCAATCATACCGGGAAATCTGCACATCTGATACGCAACGCCTAGAATCTGGAAATCTGAGGTTGATAGTATTTAGAACCACAACATTTTGATAGTATTTAGAACCACAACAAAAAACAAGACAGTAAAACGCAATTGCCTTAACTCAAAACACGACCTAGAGTCTGACCTAAAAATTAAAATCCAACGGATTGTACCCGCAAGCCTAACGCAAATTTGATTGTCAAACACTAAAGTTTAAAGTCAACCTAGAACCTAACCCAAAACCAAACCCAAAATCAGGTCCAATCCCCAAAGTAAGAAACAAAATCCCTACCCAGAACCTAGTAGTGCATTTTATACAACATAAATTGACAGGTGTGTGATCTCTTTTAATAGCTATTAAAATGAGAATATAGTATTACCATTTTCGCAACCGATCCCAAGTGGGATCTGAATGATTAACTTCAAATACGGAATCATATCTTGTGGGGAGTGACACACCTGTTACATGTGCATGTTTCCTTAGTAGTTTACTACGATCTACTTTGTGTGGTTATGAAGCTATGTTTTGGATAAATAAACATTACCATTGAAGGGAGTAACGGTCACCCTTTTACCTAAAATTATTGGGTGTCGCCCACTCTCTAAAAGGGATGTTATATCCCGGCTTCTCTGAATGTAGCAAACATAAAAAAAAGTTTAGATGTCACATCATTGTGATTTTTCGTATTATGTTAATGAAGATTAATATTATTCACATACTGATTGGGGTTTTAGACCCGCATAAGTCATAGAAGTCAAAGAATTGTGTGAGGATAGTGTTTGTCTCTTTTGTTGCCTGAATTTGTTCTAATTTTGGGTCTGCCTCAATCCAAGTCTTTTTACTCAACAGCCAAATGTAATTATAGTTTGCGGATGGGGGATCACCACTATACTTGGTTAGGCATGGCAACAGCATCGCTTATTAGTACGTGTTTTTGATGTCGAGTATCTTATCAATTTGTTCAATATCACCACTATTTGCGAGAGCAAGAACCTTGGTACCCTGTACGGAAATGGTTGAATGGAACTAGACCTGACAAAAAAATACCCGACCTGTTTTAGACCCGAAACCTGACGTGAAAACACTGGGTTTTGAACAAAGGTTTTGATGACCGAACCCGAAATTGACCGAAAAACCGGCTAAAAATGGGTCAAACCCGACCGAACCTGAACCCCACCTGCTAAAGTAAGAGTTTTTAAAAATCATACACTTTACAACTCATTATTTATGTATAAATTCTTATTTTCAAATAAAATTTTAATGATATTGCATAATTATCTTACTTTTTTTAAAACATAAGCATTTTTTTAATTCCTTATATTCATTTATATATCCAAAAAAAAATTTAGAATTTAAAATAGAAAAGTCAAATAGATTTAATACATATTTTTTGATATTTTAATTTATTTCATAGAAAATGTAAGTGTTAATGTAAATTTAAAAATTTAAAAAACCAGTCATAACCTGTTGGGTTGAACCGAACCCATTGACACTGGTCATGAACATACAGTTCTCAACCCGAACCCGAATGGACCCGAACCCGAAATAACCCGAACTTGAAGTGATCAAACCCGAACCCAACTTGATGACCGATTAGCCAGCTCTAAATGGAACATAATTAATGCAAGTAATATGTATGCTTTAAGATTGATTATTTTATAAGCTTTATAAACTTACCTCCTCATCCTGCAATATAAAAGGTCTGTACTTGTTAGGGCTCGTCCTTGAGTGTTTGATGTTGCGTTTCTCCACAACTCTAACCTTACATGTCCATTCATTTTTGTTGTCATTTATTCCACTGATCATTTTTGTCCCCATAACTAAAATCATTTATAAAAAAAGTTTTATAAAATTGGAATAACCTCTTGGATTATTATCTTATGATACGATTTCACATTTTTTAAATGAATAAACTATAAAATATTCAATAATATAACTTGAAAAAGAAAAAGGTTATATCCCGGCCTTGATTCATTGTGAAATCTTCCCAAAGAGTCAACACAACTGGTTTCATTCTTTTTAAGATGAAAGTAAAAAGGTTAGATATACACAATGTTAAGTAATTAGAATAACTACGTCATACTTACTCTTCATTCACAAGCATGAAATCATGTGCGGTTTTGGCATGTCTAGGAACGGAGACATACTCTCTCGGCATTCTCTGAATCACAATGGCCATGAAATCTAAATGTAGCAAACATAAAAAAAAGTTTAGATGTCACATCATTGTGATTTTCCGTATTATGTTAATGAAGACTAATACTATTCACATACTGATTGGGGTTTTAGAACCGCATAAGTCATAGAAGTCAAAGAATTGTGTGAGGATAGTGTCTGTCTCATTTGTTGCCTGAATTTGTTCTGATTTTGGGGCTGCCTCAATCCAAGTCTTTTTACTCAACATCTAAATGTAATTATAGTTTGCGGATGGGGGATCACCACTATACTTGGTTAGGCATGGCAGCAGCATTGCTTATGTAATACGTGTTTTTGAGGCCGAGTATCTTATCAATTTGTTCAATGTCACCACTATTTGCGAGAGCAAGAACCTCGGTACCCTGTACAGAAATGGTTGAATGGAACATAATTAGTGCATGTAATATGTCCGCTCTAAGATTGATTATTTTATAAGCTTTATAAGCTTACCTCCTCATCCTGCAATATAAAAGGTCTGTACTTGTTAGGGCTCGTCCTTGAGTCTTTGATGTTCCGTTTCTCCACAACTCTAACCTTACATGTCCATTCCTTTTTGTTGTCATTTATTCCACTGATCATTCCACCTTACATGTCCATTCCTTTTTGTTGTCATTT